CATGGACTGGAATGCTATCCTCATGAAATCGGCATTACTCAACAAAAACCACCTAAAGGGGCTACAATGACTACCGTATTTATACATGCCACACCGTCCTGCTAGGAAAAACGCAAGGCTGATAATTAGTGGCGACGCACACTGTTGTCTGACCCACGGGCATTCCTACAATGTGTTTGCAACGTTTACAAAGGCAACCGCGCCCACTAATCCTGCTATGGACCACTGTTTCAACTAGTCTTAGAAGCAGTCATGTGTGCACGCCGTAACACACGTTATTATCGACTTGGCAACTACTCGGAAACATTTTGTCATTGGAAAGTAGGTAATTTCAGAGACATTGTTGAAGGAGGAAAAGTGCTCCCAACCCTATGATTACAGTGCGTATGCAACGCTTGTTGGAAGATCATATCAGGGCCGCAGTGTCACTTGGCATTTCAAGCTTATCAATCACTTGAAAGTGAAGTGTAAGTATCATGTTGAAACGCAGGATTGACACGCATCTTACGACTTTAACATAATGGCAGATCCATGGGTCCTGAAGCGGTAACTGATTACCGAAGTGGCCCACAGGTGTGGAGATGAACGAACACTCACTAATATCGTGTCACTGTCACATTAGGAACCCTACTCTTTCGAACAATGGCTACAGATCCACTGATGGTCTTACCTATCCAGCGAACTTGGCCTTAGTATACAATTCGCCGACTACATCAGCAGTTCGTAACTACACTATTCGCATGAGTGTACGGCCAACTGAAACAACACAGCACAGGGACCTTGTAGCTGTAAAGGCTTTAAAATTTCTATTTACGAACGAGTCCTAGCTTTAACTCATTCGTACGAAGTACTGTATTGTTTCTGATTACCTCACACTGCCTTAACAATCACACGCATTTCCTAAACGAAATCGCACACGTATCGATTCTCAAGATGGTTCGTAGTGGCACGATTTCACTATGCATACCGTATCACGTGTGGCCAGATAGTCAACTCGTAAGCCTTCAACGGTTCCCTTTCAACAGCCTGCAAGGGTTGCAGCCTCAACACAATAAACCAGTCTGCTTCTTATCACCACTCACTTAGATGTCATCTCGCTCGCTTGGTAGTGAAACCTCCTTACGCCAGATTGGCAGCATGACCAATCATGTATAACGTCTCCAATTATGTGATCACCATCGACGCAACAATGAAACCACTGGTGAACCAATACTCTCGATTGCGTCACTTGGTAGTTTACCCGTTCGTTCGCTCTGTATGTGGACAGAACCAGATAATGAGAAATACATTGCATTTTCTTGGGCTCTGCATCGGGGTATTCGTCGTAGGGAATGAAATCAATCCGTACTATTCTGCGACCGTAGCCTTTTGTTGTGTGTTTTTAAAATGCCAGTTGGACATACATGACTGAGGGCACCCTAGAGATAGTCTGGGAGAAATGGTTGAAAGCCACATCACTAGTCACCGAAGCATCGGAGCAAAAATCTGCCACCATCCCATGAAACCAACATTATTCATGAGAAGCCGGACATGAAGATTTATGGCCTTGGGGGAACACATGGCACCTTCACGTAAGCACTCCTGACCTGGAGAAGGAGACGGCGTACGTAGCTCTGAGAAAGTATTATGTACAGTCGGGTCGTGAAAACAAGTTATCACACCGACTGGAGCTAGCGAAACAATTCCCTTCGAACCACAGCCTTATTTCCAGACACGTGAATGCACTTCGAAAGCTGCAGCCTGGAGTCGCACCATTCAATACGATTGCTGGGTATACACACACAACAAAAATGGCGGACAATGCCTCATTGCCCAGTACTTTCCAAGGGGTACTAACCTCAAACCTTATAATTGCCTATGTCCCCACACCACCAGTTATCCAACGTCAAATTCATAGCAAAATTGGTTCTGAAAAAGCTACTGTTCTTGCGTACACACAGCCTTCTTGGAGTGGAGAACCTTCAGCCTAAAGCACTGCAGGCAGCAGCCATTCACCTAGCCCAGCCACTTGCCGGAATCTTTCAGAGAACTCCGTCTGATCCTACCAATTACCGTCCGGTAACACTTCTCTCTGCCCTTTCCAAAGTCATGGAGGCGATCGTGCCTGACGTAATGATGGGCTACTTAGAAAACGTAGGCGATGCATTATTAGGATGGGTTGGTAATTTTCCCCGTAAACAGCAGTTCTAGGTTATAGTCCGAACATCTCTGCCCGACCCTAATCGAGCGTAGTGCGACGATCTTGCGAGAGCCATCACCCCAAAAACCTTACTTTTCCGGCTGACGTTAAAAGTTGGACGACCACAAGATCCTCCATGTGCGACCTAGATGGGACCTGACATTGACCGGTGAGGAATTCACTGCCATTCAATGTAGTCAAGTGACACATTGTCCACATCCGCCATAGACACAAGTATCTCTAGAAAATTGGGACATATGACCTGCAGGCAAGCCCTCAGGAGCTTGACCTCGGTGTGCTGGTGCAGGGCGACTTCGGTTATTCCAGACATTCGGAATCCGTTTCAAAAGTAGTAACCAGCACGTTGTTAGCTTGCGGAGGACATTCGAAATTTTGGATTCATTCATGTTCTCTATGATGCTGCATGTCTACGTGCGTTAACACGTCGAATACGCAATCTAGGCTTGGCACGCTTGGCTAAACCTTGACCTTGCAACTCTAGAAACTCACTATCGTCCAGAAACAAAATGTCATGAGGTTGTGTAACCTTTCGTACCAGCAGCGACTAAAGACACTCGGAGTGTTCAGTAGACGCTACAGGAGGCTACGTGGAGACCTCATATTAGTCTACCAGATACGGAACGACCCCACTTACACATGTTGCCGCCTACTGCAACTCATCCCGAACACCAAGTTCACAGGCAACAGCCTGAAACAGAAACAACAACACAGTCGTTTTTTCATTAAGGCTGAACGAACCTCAGCTCATAGCGATTCAGTGATTCCGCCATAAGTAGCCATCGAACGTTTCGGTGCCTACGCTGTTTATGCGCTCAACGACAGTCTGGACGTTAAGAATTCTATCCGACCGAACGCATCATTAGCACCATTTGCCAGCGGACCAGTTTAGTCATTAACACATTTGTGAAAAAGGATAAATATATTAAGAGAAATGTATTGGAACCATCATGTATGCTAGTGAAGGATAAGTTCAAAATGTCCGCCGGCGTTCTGCTTGCAGTGCAGAAACCACTTGATGCAATTGGCGAGCACTTTCTTCAATGTATCCCTTGTGATCGCGCGACATCCGTTCACAATATTTCTTTTCAATGGCTCCAATGTACGCGGCCTTGTTTTGTGCACTCGCCGCTTCAGATAGCCCCATAGAAAAAGTCCATGGGGTGCAAATCTGGTGAGTGAGCAGGCCACCCCAATGGCCCACCGCGTCCGATCCAATAGTGACCACATTTGTCGGTGAGGTAAGCACGCACCGTTTTAGCAGAATGTGCAGGTGCACAATCCTGCTACCACCAAATGGTACTGCATGCCCATTAGGGCTCCAACTGGGGAAGCACAAATGTCTGCAGCATTTCCAAATACGACAATGCTGGGAAAAGATAAGGCTTTAGTACTTCAAAACAACAACCTACCGGTTACATTTCCGGAAAATAATATGGACCCAAGATTTTCTGGTTTGTTACTCCAGCCCAAACCATCAGTTTTACACTGTGGTGCATACGTGATGCAGTAAATTTTCGTGGGTTACTGGTATCCCAAGGGTAATGTTTAATAGTTCCATGCAGATGAAACAATGCCTCATCTGTAAAGGTAACAGAACGAATATCCCCGTGATCCAGGAACCAGCGGCAATATTCATCCCGCTTCTCCGGATCGCATGGGTTCAAAACCTGCACTTGAAGTGCACGGAATCTATGAAATTTTCCTTCCAGTAATATCCGGTGTACCGCATATCGGGTGGTGTCACAGTGCTGTGCGATCCGACAAATGCTGAGATCGGGACTTTTTGACACTACACTGACTACAGCGCAAACCGAACAGTCGTCCGTGGTGATGCGAGGCGGTCCGGCTCTCTTCATGTCACACACACCCAGTTTGCTCGAACTTCTTCACTAGTTTAAGCACGTACCGGGCGGTGAAAGGACGCATTCCTGCCTTCATTGCATTGTATTTTCTTGAAGCGGTGGTTCGGTTTTGCTCCTCTCAACCTTGACACTCCATAACTGGTTTTGTCCTCCTTTAGACTCATCCGATGGAGATAGCATGAGCTGAGGTGGACCTCGAGGCCTAGTGTTCAAAGGTTGATGCCTTGACAACTATGGCTCTAAGATTCGGGAGCAACGCTTAGGGCAGCCGTAAAGAATTCCGAGTGGTATTTGGTGTACCCGCTGTGTGGTTGGATTGCGACTCGCATTCTCTATTCAGACCCCGGTCCTCTTTGAAGTAGACCTCGGTGATTACCATCACAAAGAACATATGCGAATTGGTGGTTCGGTGTTGATCCTCCCAACCCTGACACACCATAACCGGTTGCGTCCTCCATTGGACACCATATGTCACTTAGACCATTTTTACTTGGAATCTTAAATGTGTTGCATCCATGCTGCTCAATCGACCTATGAGTCAGAGCTATAACTACGATTTGAAGCAATTGCAACGCGCTAAACCGGAGGTGAGTCTCGAGGCCCTGTAGCCACCATTAAAGGATTCAAACTCTACTACCAATGATTAGGCAGTTATTCCCTCATCTGTATACAAACGCTTCAGCCTTCTCATCAAAACATGTAATCGCACCGGTGCATACATTTATCGGCGGGTGCGATTATCACAGCAGTAGTAGATCACATGCGATTCGCTCCAAAGTAACAAAGTATTCTTTACTCAGTTCCAGAAGTTGATAAACATAGGCTAGGGTTGGTTGATTTCAAACCGGCTGCATTCGAAAGATAGGAGTCAGTTAACTCTAACCTTGCCTTAGCAGCCTATACAAATGTTCATGTCCATGTGAAATTCTATTTTCCAGGTAAACCAGTTATTATTGGTGCTCGGAACATCCGTGCGAGAATTGGCGCCAGAGTGGTCATTACCTGCAACATTTGGGGACTACCACCGCTAAAAGAAAAAGAGGTTTTTTGGAGTTTTCATAAAACCACTTTGGATCCTGAAGGAGCTCCTATGGTCGACATGCAGGAAGAGCAAAACAGTGAAAGAACCAAATGCTTTTGGCGCGTGCAAAACGTGAAGTTAACTTTGGGTTGGCTTAGCACCTTGGAAATTGAAGAAGTCAGGAATGAACACTTTGGGTTGTATAACTGTTGTGCTCGAAACACACACGGTTCAACTTGGCATTTGGTCATGCTGCTGCATCAACAGCAAATTGCGAGCACGCGTAAGTCGAAGTGTACATTGACCGAGGCATTATATTCATATTCGTCGACTTTAACTCGACTGGAAGGTTTTCCAGGAATGATGACTGTTGAGATGGAACTGTTAGCCGGACAGGTAAATGAAACTCCGTTATGTGCACTTATAATGAAGGTATTCACTCAAATATGCATCCAAATTGCTTACATCGGCCATCATTAGTTGTAGCCTGAGATGATCCCGCATTCAGCATACATGGGAAGTCAGACAGTTGGCCATCAGAAGGCTTCGTACATAAAGAAACTGATTGATTGACACTTATTCGCAAAGGTTATGCGCTTGGGACAAAAGTTGATGAAGAGCAGCGCATCGCTGAATTGACCAAACCTCACTGATCAACACATCCAAGTAACAATCCAAATCCGTTTTAAATTTGCATCTCCAATACTCCTAAATTGCTTTCAATGAATGGGTAGTATGGTAAAATAACTGCACCTCGTTTTTCTGAAATTAAGTAAAAATCCCTTAGTCCGTCGAGTTTTATATTCAAGGATGTATGAGGGTGAACAGCTGAATCCATCTCTTGGTTTATGCGTCTATATTGTCTTCCATCGTTTTACTAGTAGTTTATCAGGCGAACCAGGCTATTGCTTTCCGGTCACCTAATATATGCCACAAGTCTCTGTCCATAACTGGCCTGAAGAAGTAATTGCGTTACTAAGGAAACTTAACCACAAAGCAAGCCTACATAAAACCGATTATGTTCTAAACTTTTCTAACTTGTAACTTCTCCATAGGTTTCAAGCTTATTCGGAGATGTGCAGCACCTTCATCATACCGCTGTAATATTATTTTCTATATCAAAGCAACCAGATAGTTCAGAGAAACACTGACGGATGATGATTTTTTCGAAGTCATGCAGTACGGTTGCAGATCCCCGTGTACGAAAACAGATGGAAGTTAGATGTATCAAACCCCCAACTCCATGCCACGACAGATGTCTCCCTATATAAGGCTTTCTAGTGAAAACAGTTAGATCTGGACCGGAATCGGGTGAGCAAAACAGACTCATCGGGGCCGTCAGTACTAGGCTAGTTGCGCCACTGCCAAACATTAGACTCGATTTTAGGACGCTCAAACTGGGTCGCGCCTCTAGTTTAGACTACTCGTTGGCACCCGTTCACGCGATGGAGATTTTCAAAAACCGAACAGCTAAATAGTAGCTGTTGTGGCCAGCGTTGGCCTTAGAGTCCTAGTTACAATGGCGATGGCATCTGGCGCAAACCTTTGCGTCCCCAATCCCGTTACTTCTCTCGGAATAGACCAGACAATGGCAAAATGTTTCATAACGTGTGGCTTTGATGTGTGGAAAATATATCACTTATCTGCTTCACATATAGTCCCAACGACCGAAACAGAGGAGGTTACTTTCAAATTGAGCCGCGAGTAAGGGCGATAGTAGCCACTAGCCAGTCATACAGCTCTGACAGCTCTAACAGACCTGCAGTTGTGCATTACCATTTTCCAGTTAAGGACAGTTTATGGACAAGACGAGCTTCTAATGTTTCGGTGTTGCGTCCACAAAAATCACCACAGGGCAAAAAGCTTCTGTGGATTAGCGAACTGGTGGGAATCATCCACTAAAGAAGCCCATATATTGCTATCTTTAACTAGCTGAAAATCAAGCTTTCTCGAGGAAATGGAAGTCAACTGGCGCGTACCTTCTCCTTTTTCTTCTTTTTGCAGACTGGCTGACAGCCGAGAATCTTGTTCACATGTTCATTGCTTTGTTACTAATCACAGTCGTAACTGCTACGCTGTATTTGATTTTCATTCACAAAACGTTTGATTCAAAAGTTGGCTCGGGTCATCTAGTATCCTATCTACGAAAACCAAACTACAAAATCAATGCAAAGAGGTAAGTATCATCCTTTGTAATCCAGCATATCTACCCTACTTTACAGAAAAGGGAATCTTTCGGTTAAACAAAGCATCCATAAAAATTGCGTACAGACTGATGCGGAAAACTGTCAATCACTCCATATAATCAACAACGAATTCGACAGCCCCCTTCAAATGGATGGAGTAATTACGAATAACCACATCCTTCGGTGCCCAAATGCCGATCTCATGCAACTGCGGCAGTTACCCCCCCAAAGATCTTTCCTACATAGAAAAACACCAGATGAGACGCAGTGTAAATTTTCAACACTTTCTAAGGAGAAAGCGTCGCTGTCTAAAAAGACATTAGCATGCTCAAATGTTTCGAGCAATCCTAGTAAGTTCGAATGCGTAAAACAACTTCGAATCCCTTTTCAGCCCTCCGTACCATTATTGTGCCATTAGTGTTGTAAGTTTCTAACAGTATAATCAATAAGTTCGAGAAAAATGTGACATTTTGATGTAGATGTTCACTTGATATGAGTTATACGTGACTGCATCATAAATAACAATGTTCCACTGTCCACAATACTGAAGGAGGTTATGTAGTCAGCCCATAGCGTGTGCAAACCGGCAATGCCGAGGGATCAAATCTCTGGCATTTAAACTTCACCACGGTTGGTTGTGGACATCGAGCTTCCTTATGCCTCCAAGATGAATTACGTGTGTGTTACCTATATGCACAGCCACCTTAAATGGCGAAGATCAACCATTTGTCTGGCCACTGTGATGCAAGTTGGGACATTCTTCAATCCGTCCGTCTGAGATGTGGTTTGCTGCGAACCAGCCCAGAATATAAAAAAGTTAGTTTGCGCAATATTGTCCAGTGGCGACATTGCATCTAGTACATAAGTGGTAGATTATTTAGTAAATTCTCAGATGGACTTTCCCCGATGAACCTCCGTATACATGAGTCAACATTTGGCTAACACGACAATCGTATAGTTTCATTGGCTACCATGGTCATGATGAGTGATAATGCCGAAACGACGATACGTTACAAGCACATAAATGATTGACGTTCGTGTGGTAATAGAAATTTTTGTTTAGAAGTGCATCGCATCATAAAGTGTTGGAGGTCGTGATACTCATCTATTCTTCATTGGGAAAACGGAAATCCGTAACTGTTTGGGCCATTTTCGATGAATCCATGTATTTTACAATATCTAAATAGCGTATTATAAAAGAAATTTGCATAACAATTTACTTTGAAAGTGATAAGAAATAGTTCAACAATAGTAGTAGTAATTGTTTGTTCTGCAGTTCCTTGTGAGCGGAGGTTTGTCGTGTGGGAGTATCGGACTTGTCTTCCGCGGAGGACAGGCCAAGGCTACAACAGAGCTGTTTCCGTGCAAGGCCGTTAGTTGTAGTACCTGTAAGAGTCAAGTGTTGTTGCCGAGCAACACCGAGGTAGTCGTGCTATTTGTGCGTAACTCTGCATACTGTAGCATTTCGGGAGACTTGAGACACCGTTTAACCGGCCTATCTTCACTGCTGTTTGTCACTAAAGGTGTTTGCCTTTCGCTGGACTGCATGGCAATTTTGCTAGAGCTCATGCCGTTTGGCAGGTCTGCGATCTGGGCTACGTACTACATCAATCTGCAACTCGAGTTAAAGGCTTCCCCCCCCCCCCCCCAAGACCGCGATCAGTTATTTTTGCTCTGTCGACGCATCAGCTAACATTTCACACCCGATCCTAAGCGTTTGAGCAATTGTAATCATGGGGCTATCTGAACATGTCACAGAACCACAATCTGTCGGTACGCTGTTATCCGTTATGTTTAGTATTCACATTTACGTCGTAGGAATTAGCACAGAACCAATACGTGCTTTTCGATATGATCCCCGCTTGTCTGCTACGATTGACCTAGGGTTTGTTGCTCACTATACCGTTTATCAATTAGCTGCACCGTTTCCCCAAAAGTTTGCATCGGGGACGCTTGAACTTGCATCGCGTGCGACATGTGACCGTTGTGACCGTTGTACTAGCCATACTAATGGACTGAGTTCGCGACGTGAGATCACGTGATCGCCTTGCCGCCAACCTTTTTATCCAATTCCTAATCAGGTTACGTTTAGTATGTGGGTAACATGCTTCCATTCGCGTCCGTTTCCATAAATTGTTATCCTTTTCGCCGCCATGCCGCGTACGAGGGGTGCCTTGTGACATCGGAGCAGTGCAAGGTTGCACAAACTTCCCGGTTCCACTCAACTTGGCGTACCTATGGAGTTAACGTCACCGGTACCTTCCAGTGCAGACGGTGGCAATGCGATCACGTGATCTCACGCCGCGAACAGCCCATGAGTAGGGCTCATACGAGTGCACACGTGCGTCTCACACGACGCAAGCGATGTAGTGTCAAGCGTCATCGATGCAAATATTTGGGGGAACGATGCAACGAATGCCCTGTCGACAAACTTCACCGGCCCGTGGCGCAATGGTTCTTATGCACTTTTAGGTTGCGCAGGTCACGCCGTTTGGGCTGCCTCAGTTGTCTGCACCGTCAGAGGGATCGTTGTCAGCGGGCTAGGTAGTGGTGTGTCACTAGGCTAACGGGTAAAAACAAACCACAGGCTTTGTGCACTTAAATGCACGTACCGATAAGGTGATGATGTGAGACGACAAGAAAAAGCTTGTAGCTACGGCATACAATGGTGCAAAGTACTGTTATCTACTGTCTACAGTATTGTCTACAGTAGCCTTACAGAAGGTCCGTTGCATAGTATCTCAAAGGTACTGATGAAATAAATAAGAAGTTACACACGTTGGTCTTAGTGAATAGACTTCCGGACGTTTTTTGCGGTGTACCAGCGTCTCGTTGGAGTTACTTCGAAAATATAGACGCTGTTTGTTAGAGCTCAGACTTCCGATTCGATTGAGCGTACTTCCGAAGGTATGGCACGAGCCTGTGAAGGGATAGGTCCAAGTTGACAGTGAACACTAATTGTACGACTGGCATGTGGTGCGATCTTGAAGGGAATCAAGTTACTATTGACCACCTTTTTGAACCTAGCTGAGGTGGTGGCAGAAACAACTGTTTCTGGAAGCGTTTCACAGATGGTAAATCCAAAGTTACATATTCTTATGACAAATCCTATACGGGTTGAAAAGCTCACTTAATTCGTTTGGTTGCTTCTTAGACATATTGCCAATTAGCTTCAACAGGCGATGAGATACACGTTGTGACCACTCACTGCTTGGCACACCTTGTAAGTAGCCACCACGCGGGAGTCGGTAGTGTCTACTGAACGTTCCGAGTACCCCTGACTCTTGCTACAGTAGAAGATGCAGTTTTTTGACATCGTGGCCTTGGTCCTGATTACGTCATTCCCATCATTTTTGACATCCAATGGTGCCTTGGATTTTGACGCCTATAACACAGAATGGTCGTACCCAAACCGACTCCTGGATAGCATATTCTCCTGAAGGGTACAACAGAACTTTGAGTTTCATGAGAAAAGGGATTGGTCAACCTGCTACTTGCTTCTCAAGAGAGTCGGCTGTTGGCCTCCCCTTCTTGACATTGACTCGGGTTATTAAGAATAGCAGAAGTCGTCCTTGCTCACATAGACTGCATGGTCCAGAAAAAAAGGTACGCCTGTAGGCAATATATCAAAACATATAAGCAATAGTACACATTGAATGACAACTTATTTGGGTGCTTAATGTGAAGCCTCTTCAAGATCACGTTATTGCCTCACCATATCATTGCGGACCATATCATAATGTCATCAACGAGGATAAGAAACAAGAGTTCCTCGGTGAAAGCCAACAATGTAGATAGCCCGGCGTAAGGCCACGAGGCATACTGCACTCTAATTGTATCGGTTGAAACATGGATCCTCAGACTCTTGCCTCCAACTACCGCTTGGATAGTATTTCATTGATTCAACTCATGACTTTGTTGCCGATGCTATGGTCATAGAGCTTGTAGAACAGAAAACGCTATCCGAAATGGCCAATTACCTTTCTTGATGACGATAATAATGGTAGTTCAACGGCAATGAAAATGAGTAGGGTATTGCGGTGTTGGTAGAATCTACAACGCCTACCTCAAGTATTTCTTGGAAACATATGGGAATCATTTATGATAGCCTGAAGTTTGTTACCTAACAAATGGAACAATGGCTACTCCGCGTGTAACACACAATCTGGAAAGAATATTAAACTGTATAGATATATGTGCAATCCACAGCTGAAGTTAGAATGAGATGTAACGGCACATTTGCATAGCACAGTAGACGCAGTTTACTGTAGTTTGTTCTCAGCCTATATCGCTTTGAGAAATATGTAATCAGGCGTCTAGTGCTGGGAACAATAATTGGTGGCTAGGGGGTATTCGACGACGGGACAGTTGTTCAATCACAAACACAACTTTCATGTTTATTATTGATTCAGGATACCCAATGATCATTTTGGAACAGCCAGTAGTTGTAAATTACATACAAAAGCCTGTTTCTGCCAGTACATGATTTCAGACTGACATTGTGCTATTTGCAGAAGCAACTGGGGTAAACAAATGAGTGTTGGTATTGACAAGAATCAGGCTGTGTTTGGGTTATCCCACTGATTCAGACCTCATCGTGTCTGTTTGTATCAGTTTCCGTGCGACACTCCCTGTCCATTGGGTAGAGGTGGTTCTTAACAAGGAAGTGAAGGGTTGGGATGGTTGCGAATTACTGGATTCCCTGGTTTGCGCGGCTTCTAGTCACTAGAACAGCACAAACAACCTTCATTAAGTTACACGGGCACAAACATATGGTAAGGGATTGCCGACTTATTCCATTATCTTAACTACTGTAGGTTGAGAGGTCATTATCATAATTTAGCCTTCCCAGCTACCGGGCTAAAACTTCGTCGAAACAACGTGGATCGCACAGTCGAGCTCCAATCCTACCACATGCAGCCTACCAACGGAGTAACCTGGAGGGCAAATAAGTTTAGGACATGATTTCCGCTTACAAATAATACCAACGACAACAAACCTGTGACTTAAAATGCCCGGAGGAGTTCAGGTATGCACAGGGGAGTAACATGGCTAATGGTGAAGCGGTAGGCGCAACCACCACGAAGGAAGCAAGTCTGATTCCCTGGATTAAATTATAAGCTAGCTATAATCTGCGTTGGCTGAGAACAACATCGAGTTTCATGCACTTTGGATGCAGTCCTAATAATCAGAATGACAGAGATCTGCTTCAGGGTATGCGGAGGTCTCAACGGAGATTGCGTGTCACGAAGCAACCACGAGGCAGGTACTTCAAACACAGCTATCAGTTCTATAATCGCTCTTCCCTAGAACAGATAGCGTTCAAGAAGAAGCACGTGCTGGGTTCTGCTGTCTTTCCACTACCAGCATATTACTTAAGTCGAGAGCGTGCTCAACTTGTATCATCGTACAAATTGGTGCAGGTTTAATTTCTCATGGGGAGTATTTTATCTAGGCGATAAATGAAGCAAAAATCGAGATCAGTTTGAAAGACACAGTGGCGCTTAGAGATGCCATACAAAAACGCGAAGTACAACCCAGGTGAAGAGAATGGTCAGCAATGGCATCCGACAGTTTATGGAGTACAAATAGCTATACCCAGGCCTTGATTGTTTTGCGAGCAGTTATTTTGACAATAACTCATAGTGTGCTGATCCAGGTAACCTAAATATTTTCAGTCAGTTCGTTACTACCATACTGCACAAATGTCCCCTGCGGCGATGCACTTTTGTACATTTCAAAGTAAAACAACTCCAACTAGCTGATTTCTGGGATTTGAAAACTCCATAGCCCAAGGGGAAAGTTACTACCAACTAATCGTGTTATCGGTGTTATAGCAGAACCCGTAGGTAAGCCGTGCACGTCTTATGCTGTGGGCTGTTGACAAGATACATGAAACGAACTAAATGCATCGAAAATCTCAGATTACTCAGGGAAACTGGTTGTTCGCTGCTTAGCAACGGAACTTCACATACCATTTATGTTTATTTTCAACAGGCTACACAGGACTGCGTTTGCCTCCAATGAAAAGAGCTACCATGGATGCATTGCTCAAGCAACAACCAATTTCAGCGCCAGGCCATCCTTCCTCACAGGCTTTCAGACGTTCATTGAGATCACAATACTCATCTTTGAACCACTGTGCTCCGTCAAATGCTCTAACCATTCAAGCTGTACCATTGCATTCGTCATACAAATGGTGTGCCAAATGCCAACATGTGTGTGGCGCAAAACACGAAGCCAAAACTTGTGAAGCGACGTGCATCCGTCCTGTTGCACAACCCACTATTTTCTCGCACATTGAGGTAAACCCTAATGTGTTATCAACACTGAACTCCGAATTCGCTGAACTTTGTGATACAAAACTGACCAACACCAGCAGCCTGAGTGATCAGATACGGATTCACAAACGATAATGGCTCAGAAACAGCCGTTCTTCAGGCATACCTTTGTCTTTCTTTCCCAATCGAATGGTGCACGGATTCTATCATTACGGTTTCTGTATATATCATATGCATTTACAGACGAAATAAATCACATACCAAGAGTCTTTGAAGTGTTTGCATTTGGCTTACACCGTAAGTTCTTTTTGTATTAAAAAATCAAGTCGCGAATAGTTGTTTTATCCAAACACGTGGGAACTCGATTGGCGACCAGGAAGTACATCATGCGGAATCTCGGAAGTCGTAGCACAGCAGCTCTAAAGTGAAATGCGCGTGATTCGATCATGGTTAAGTTCACCAGGGTGATAAGCTAAAACACGGTGGCCATATCCATTGGCTTTTCATGAATATGAGTAAGGCGAATTTGAGTGGGAACTGATGCTATTAAGAGGCTTCTAACAAGGTGCTTACATGGTATACGCCAAAATGCATTCTATTAGGTTCTGTCCCATATATGTGTTAGTCCAGAACCAGTGTTGGTTAGTTCTTGTTGGCGTCTTTGACGTAATCGACCGATGCCAAAATAGCTTTGAATACCAGATATAAGAGCAATCTTCGTGAATGACCTAGTAGTAATCAAACTCAAAACCGCGGTAGTTTAGATTCATTATTCTCTTCAAATATTGAACTGAAAACTGGTTACACATTGGCAACAAACATCATATTGACTGTTTTTACATCAAGACAAAATGTGGCATCCCTCGGGAGACTTTCGGCCATCCCCTTTTTTGGTGACGCCATGTCAACGACTTATCACCACAGAACTTCATCAACCACACGCCGCAAGTGCGAACTGCGTGTCGTGGAAGCTGAGGAGAGGGATTGCGAAGAAAACGATAATGAGAGTACAAGTACCATGAATTCGACAGGCGGCTTGGAGTGGAACCATAACTGTACTTTGCAAGCAAGCGCCCAATGTTTCCGCCAGGTACCGGTGATCAAGTTATGTCACGACTGCGGTTTATGCACTAAGTACAGGTAAGAATGCGGCTGTAACAAACAGGCTTATTGTAATGTAGCGGGATATACTTGTAATACAAGAAACCTGGACTGATAAATAGTAAATGCAATACCATCATGGTATAAATTGGTTGGTTAACTGTCAGATAAAGTTACTGACGAAGAGTAAGCACCTGCCCAGGCATAATGGAACTTATAATTCTGTACACTTGACGAGGTCGACACACATTCCGATAATGCGCAATGAAAGGGTGAGTTGTTGATCGTTGGTAATAGTTTCCTGCAAGAACTAAGACGAGTGGACACAAATATATCAACAAAGGTCAGCTTTGACACACAGCTACATCGGGACAAGCGTTTTAACCATTGGGCGATTAATTTGCAGTGCCCGCCCAGTAGACCAAGAAAATTCACTGCGGAGCAGCGCGTCCAGAGTGAAAGAACGCGGGTAGTGACAAAACGAAGTACAAAATCAAGGGAACATATAAAGCTTTTAGACTTGAGGCGTAGAACGATAATCTCTGGACTTTGGTGAACTGTTACTTTATAGTATGTGACGATGATAAAGCGCAGTTGGACGTGAAGCCAAAGTACTTCACTGTTGTGCAGGAGTGCAACCCATCACCATCGATGTGGAGTTCCGGGCACTGCTAGAGGAGCTGTTGGTACGGATCTCCTCTGTGCAGGGAAAAACGACACGGTTGCATTATGTCACATTAAGCAACAGCTCGAGGGCTTTCAATGGAACCGTGAGGTCGTCAAAATCATTTGGTAGTTAGAATGAAGAGGCAGCAGTCGATTGATTGTTGCCCAAGACAACTTCATCTGCGTAGTTCAGTAGGTCCGACTCCTCAGGGTCTGGTAGTGAGCTGACTTAATTGAAATATAAAAATGCTGATAAAATAGCACCCTGAATAACTCCGGTATTTGTTGTTAGGGGCGAGGAGCCACTCCCTTCAATGAACAATGAACAGTGAACAATGATACATTACAGGTAAAAAAGCGATTGCTTTACAAGTCCTGTAGGAGGGCTGAACTGAAAGTAAACATAAGTGTAAATCGTCAATTTAAGCGTCTAGCGATACAGGTGCCTCTTGTTCATATAAACATTGTAGAATGGGGTACTGAAATGTTACTGTAGAGTAACATGCGAAGTAATATGGGCAAAGTATGTCTTTGGAACAAAAGAAACGACAACGCTTACTCGTGCGCCGCTTTGTTGGACTGAGGTAATTGATGAATGCAATTGTAATATATCTGAAACTATATTCCAAAACAGCAGTGTTTAAGTAGTGAAGCACTAAAGCTGAGAATGAGCATCGTTTGTTCTCGTTTGCTTGACGTAGATATCTCTGATTATATAGTGTAAGGTAAGTGGATAAGCGAATCATCCAGACGTCTTTTGAATACCGCTAGCGTGGGGGAAGAAACAAGGTATGTGAGAAGAGCGTTCCAGTGTTGGCACACACGAAGGGAAAAGAAATTCCGGCGGCATTCCAACCGGCTGTATTGTGTAGCCAGCTTTAGCTGGTGTCCTCTGAGTGTTGTATTGCGACTCATCTTTAGCAGGTGACGACAAAAATGGTTTGGATTCCTCAGGATCATATAAGTCATTATCAAGTCGCCAAGCAGGCGTCGATATTGTCCACTGTAAACCCCGAGGGTTTTCAGCCTCAATCGATAAGGGAGATGAAACAGGCCGTTTACGTTCTTGGTCGCCCTTCGTTGTGGCAGTTCAAGAGCGGTAAGGTCTTGCTTTTGCCATGGCTGCCAGGCCTGGATGGCGTACTCAGAATGAGGCCGAATGTAGGCGTTGAGCATCTGAGAAAAGATGGAAGGATCGAAGCACCCGAATGCCCTCCACAAAAGGCCAAGGTGTTGGTTAGCTTTTTTGGAGGCTTTCTCGGCCTGACGGAAACAGTCCAGATCTTCCTGCACTGTCACGCCTAGATCGCATTCCGTTGTAGTGCGTTGCAATATTTGATCCCCCAGTCTGTATTCGCAAGTGGCTTTATGGCGTATGCCCAACACCTTGCACTTTGTAGCGTTGAACTGAAGCAGGTTCTGAGTCGACTATTCGTAGACCCTGTCAAGATCATCCTGAAGTGCTGCATTGTCACTGGTCGTTCTAATGACTCGCCATATCTTGAGATCACCAGCGAAGAGTAAGAAGTTGGAGGTGATTACTGTCGCGAGATCGTTTATGTAAATCAGGAATAGTCGTGAACCAAGTACTGAACCCTGGAGCACTCCGTACTTAACGTCGATTGGGTCAAAGATGACGCCGCAAACTCTTACATTGAGATGTGGTTGAAGCAAGAAGTTACCTTTCCACCCGAGGATTGGGTCACCAATTCCACAACGCAGTATGTGAAGGAGGATACGGTCGTTCAGACGGTCGAAAGCCTTTGAGAAGTCCAGGTATACTGCGTCAACACCTACGCCGCTGTCAACGGTCTCAGTCCAACTGGATCTAGCAAGCAGCAAGTTTGAAGTACAAGATCGGTTCTTGCGAAACCCATGTTGTTCTTGTGCTATGATATTGCGTTCTTCCAAGAAGTTCATCAGCGCCTCGGCAACAATCGCTTCCATTATTTCAGAGAGCACCGGAAGTAGTGTTGTCGGGCGATAGTTGGCCGGATCTGTACGATTTCCCCTCTTATGGATGGGAGTGACGATGTCTTGCTTCCACATTGTTGGCACCCGCATCTCATCGAGGCATCGTTGTGAGAACTTGCAGAGTGGGTCTGCCAGGTTTACTGCAGCCAATTTCAACGCTTTTGGACGAATATTATCAACGCCGGGAGAGGTATGCTCGCGCATGGCAATTAGCCATTTCATAACATCCGCAGTCGTAAACGTGATGTGGCTAAGTCCTGATGGTGGTATAACGATCGGGAACAGTGTATGCGGCGATGTCGTGCTCTGGAAGTTCGGGGTAAATTGTTGACATAGGGCGTTGGCCACCTCGGTTGCGTTTTGTGCAAGTCCGCACTATGTGTGTAAAGCAGGAATTCTTCGCTGCACTTTGCGGAGCTTGTTGATGTGTCCGTACAGGCGCTTGGGGTTTGAAAGGAATTTCTCGGCTAGGTTCTGTTAGTGCTATATTTTATCTTCGCGTACCAGGTTTACGCAGTGATTCCTTTGGGTAGTGTAAGCTTCTCATGTTTCGGCACTCGATGACGCCTTGTATATTCGCCAGAATATATTCCTCATGACCATACACTTCCGTGTCCTACTGCGTATGATTGATTTTACTGTCTTCGCTCGCGAAGGTCTTTTCCTAGAAGCACTAGTTCCTAACTTATTGAATTGGTGAGCAAATTCAGACCAGGCGACATCGGGGATCTTTCTGCTAGCAACGTCCAGTTTGTAGCCGTGATAAGTTTGAATAGAGAGCCGTAATCCGTAATGAGCTGACACTCCTCGGTGTTTTCTGAAGAATAGTCTGCATAACAGATGTACTTGAACATGAGGGTTGCATAGTCGCTACGGCCTAAAGGACTCTCTATCGATACCGTTTCGCTCATAAGCTCCTCATGGGTGAATACGAGATCCAGGACACCCGGTTTGTTTCCCGTCCTGAATCTTGTGGAAGATGTGATGTGATTGTAGAGTGGTAGTCCACGAAGTATCTTCTGTACTTCCATTTTGTAGTGTTCGTGGATACAGGCTGGGGTTTCTATGGTATGAATATTAAGGTCACCAACCAGGAGAATGTGGCTGTACGAGCGTGAGGGTAGGCGGTTGTCCATTTCCAAAGTAGCCGACGGACGGCGATACACCACACCCAACAAACATGCGTCCCCACGGCTTAGGTGAAGACGACACTAAAGCGCATCGACAATCTGAACTTCTGGGTCATCGATGAGATCAATGTGTAGTTCGCTGCGATAATAAACTAGTACTCCACATCCTCTTCTTGGTCGATCGTTGCGTAGAATAGACATCCCAGGTAGTGCAATTTCTGCATCAGTGATCGCTTCATCCAACCAGGTCTCGGCTAGCATAACTAGGTCCCTTGACATCGAGGCCTGACGCAGGCGAAGCCCCGTCAGTTGGCTTAAAGGACCTTGTGCGTTGGTAAAAAACAGGAGAGGGATTCATATGTTAGAAGGTTGTTTGTGGATGTAGACAAGAGGT